ATTCCAGGAAGCTCGTAAGACTTCTCCAGGCTGGAGCTCTGGGGGGCGGTCTGGATCTCCTGCTCGAAGTCGAGGGCAACGTAGCAGAGCTTCTCCTTGATGTCACGAACGATTTCACGCTCGGCAGTGGTGGAGAAGGTGTAGCCACGCTCAGCCAGGATCTTCATGAGGTAGTCGGTCAAGTCGCGACCAGCCATGTCGACACGGGCAATGGCGTGGGGCAGGGCGAAACCCTCGTAGATGGGGACAACGTGGGTGACACCGTCACCAGAGTCAAGCACGATACCAGTGGTACGACCGGAGGCGTACAGGGACAGGACGGCCTGGATGGAGACGTAGAAGGCGGGGGCGTTGAAGGTCTCGAAGACGATCTGGGTCATCTTCTCACGGTTGGACTTGGGGTTGATGGGGGCCTCCGTCAGCAGGACGGGGTGCTCCTCGGGAGCGACACGGAGCTCGTTGTAGAAGGTGTGGTGCCAAATCTTCTCCATGTCGTCCCAGTTGGTGACGACACCGTGCTCGATGGGGTAGCGGAGGGTAAGGATACCACGCTTGGACTGTGCCTCATCACCGACGTAGGAGTCCTTCTGGCCCATACCAATCATGATACCATGGTGACGGGGGCGACCGACAATGGAAGCTTGAAATGGTCAGCATCAAAGATCATGATGAGCTTTGCCCGCAGCACCCAAAGTTGCGGTCTAGGGAAATTGGGTAGGGGAACTTACGGAAGACAGCACGGGGCGCATCGTCACCGGCGAAACCGGCCTTGCACATACCCGAACTACAGTCAAGTCAGCTCCGTGTTTCTTTTTCTTGCCTCTGCTTATCATGGCCCTCCATGTGTTGAGACATTGTGCCAGTATGTGGTTGTCGAGTGATGAAGGATCGCGGCGGGTCCCTCATCAAAGGCGGAGAAGCCGGCGACAGCAGCGGGCGAAAAAAAGGGGGGGATTAGACGAACCCATTGTCAATGACGAGGGCAGCAACTTCTTCTGTAACGGGAAGATGTTGTTAGCAATATGTACTGCTTGAGCATCGAGTCCTTCAGAGATGATATGGACAGCATCTCGATGGGACAAGCTTTGGGGCATCATGACGGATAACCTACCCTCCATTGTGAATTATGTAGCGGTGGGGAGAGGACTTGAGGTGGTCAAATGATAGCTGGAAGAGATGGAATTAGCTCGCGCGATTCACGGATCGTAAGAGCGAGATGGTTTTCGACAGCGTCTGAAGCTGGTGGTGAGGAGTCGGAGGGGTGGGAGGTAGTCGATGGGAAGTGATGTTAAAGTGGGAAGGTTGGTATATGGGGACGCACCTGTGCTTGTTGGCAAGTTGGGTTGGGCGGAGGGGAAAAGGGAAAGTGCGAGAGCGAGGTGCGAAGTGGAAGTGGAAGGTACAAGGTGTCGCTGCTTCTGAGGAGGTCCGGTCAGGGTGGGGAACGGTCCGGGGGGGGGGGGGGCGATGCCAGCGTGGATGTGAGATAGGTGCTTGGGAAACCTGACTTGTGGGCGGGCAATTGCTGGCGATCGGGAACGCTCGCTGCTTTAACATGTTTGTGGCTGATGGCTGAATGCCTGGGTACGTATCGCCCCACCTTTTGGGGGGTTTGGAGCGCAGGTGAGGTGGGTGACGAGGAATCTAGAGGCCTGGCCCTGGGCCTGCCGGGTGTTTGGGGGGATTGGGGGGCGCGCGCACATGGGGCACAGCTCTAGAGGTGGCTGGGCGGCGGACAGGCAGCACGTTTAGAACCTGACAGGCATGTTCTGATGCAGGTGCTTCGCGGCCCGCGGCCCATCAAACCCATAAGGACCCCGAAGTTGAGGTCGAGAACATCAAACATCGTGATCACGGGACCAAGGCAACAAGAGTGATTGCCAAGCATTTGGAGCCACTGCCTGCACACACGATGCTCAACCCTACCCAAGGCACCACACAATGACATATTTCCGGTGTATCGCTACATCACTATGCATGTCGTCACGCACCAAGGCAGCCAGCCCTATCTTATATGCAGGTGTCATGCTACCCAATGAGTATCCACGCATCTGGAGCTTCATCACCATCTCACCACGACATCAGCAGGATCGGATAATCGAGTTGCAACATTATCATTTAGTCTTCATCCAAGAAACCCCTCAACGGCGCAAAAGCGCAGAGAGTGGCATAAGCAACGAAAGCACCAACCCACCCCGGCTGCCCCGGACTTTGCCCCCGTGCCTACGATCTACGTAGTTGACTCGTACACCACTGTGTTGGCATGGCAAAGTAGACACGCGTACTGGCAGCACTTGTGGAAAGGGGACCCTTTCATCAACCCGAGCAATGACGCCACCCGTGAGCATTCGAGTATCCGACCGCCTGTGTTCAACGCTGTTTCACGCTTGCGCTCTTGAACGCGCCTCGCCAAGGCACCCTGCTCGTGGTCTTTCGGACTTTAATGGATGCCTATAGCTGCCGCGTGAGTGGATTGCGTATGCAGGGCAGGCTTCCTTTCAATGACCCGCGGCCGACTAACTATGCTAAACATATCCATCCGCAGACGGAGCAAGGCTTCAACCTCGCTGCCCCGGCTTGTTGCCTTCTTGAGGCCCCTGGTGTCTGGGAGCCAACTCGATGGATCTGTCTGTGTCGGCGTGTAAAGGGTTACTAAGAGAGAGACTTGTAGCCCCTGCTCCTCAACAGATTTTACCCCTCGTCTGTGGCGGAGCTGAGAATCCAAGAGCACCGCACCAGCCAGGGGAAGATATGATGTTCGAACCTTCAATTGGCTTGTTACATGTGCCATAAGAATGTTTCAATCGTAGGAGGCTTTCAACTTCGGGAATGACACCAACCGCGCTGCATCAGGGATCATGTCGAGCTTCAAAGGGGTGGGCGTCCAATTTCCTCTAAAGCGGCAATGAGGGGCAACTCATCTTATGGTGGGGCAGCTGGGAATCCTGGGTTCTTCACCAACCACCCACGAGCCCGCTGCCCGACCACCGGAGGATGGCCTCGACCTAGCTGCGAACCATTTGTGCAGTGCATGTTGGTCTGTTCAGACGTCGCAAGGTCCTTCAGCACGTCCGGGGAGAGAAGATTGTTCGTAACCTCTGCAGTTTCTGAAAATCATGTTGAACGAACGGTTGACAAGTGGAATTGATGACATGGTCAGAGCTTCTTGGACCTTGGGCCGCCGTTCCGCCGGGACCAGGGCTTTCACGTGAGATCTGCGCTAGTCCTTTTCTGTCTAGAAGCCTTCTTGAAGATTCCAGAACGGGCAGGATCCTGGCAGGCTCAAATCATGGTGATGAGGAGGCCGAAGAAAAAAAGCAAAATCATTTGAACGGCAGCGAGTGAGGTCGAGTTTTGCGTAGAACACCACAACTCGAAACTCCATCAGAATCAAAAGACCTGACCTTATCAAAAAAGACTTGTCAAGAGCAAAACTTTCGAACGTGGTCAGAATTTAACTTGCCTCCGTCTTATTCATTGAGACACTCAACGCCAAGTCACCACCCGCTCTCATCACAAATCACCTCACACATACACATACATCATGGGCGACAGGAACCTCAACGATCTCCTCAAGTGGAGCATCGCCAACCAGGACATTCCTGAAGGCGCCGAGGCGCCCCCCGGCGAGGCCCCTCGCCTCAACCCCGAGGCCATGGCCGCCCTCTTCGGTGGCCCCAGCGATGCCGACCTCATGAAGGACTCCATGGCCGCCATTCACAGCGCCGATGTGCCTCTCGACCAGAAACTCATCGCCTTTGACAACTTTGAGCAGCTCATCGAGTCGCTCGATAACGCCAACAACATCTCCGCCCTCTCCCTGTGGACGCCCCTCCTCGACTGCCTCGCGCACGAGGAGGCCGAGATCCGCCGCATGGCCGCCTGGTGCGTCGGCACCGCCGTGCAGAACAACGCGCCCAGCCAGGAGAGGCTCCTCGCCATGGGTGGCGTGCCGAGCCTCGTCGCGCTGGCGACAAAGGAAGGCGAGCAGGAGGTCGTCCGCAGAAAGGCCATCTACGCGCTGAGCTCCGCCGTCAGGAATTACCAGCCCGCCATGGATGCCTGCACCGCCGAGCTTGCCAAGCAGGGCGGCTCACCAGACAAGGTGGACGCCGACAACATGGACGCCGTGGATGTGATCATGGAGGACCTCAAGGCGAAAGCCAAGGCGTGAGGAAGGCCGGGACTGGGTTGGGAAAGCCAAGGCGTGAGGAAGGCCGGGACTGGGTTGGGTTTGCATGCATGCATGGACGGCGTTTTGGGAGGCACGTTGACGGTATAGCAAAAGAGCTGGGCTTGCGTTTCCAGAGCACCAGAATTTTATGATCAAGATTCCCCACAGACATACATACGCGATTACACAGCTTCCATGTGACATTGATGCTTTGGTGATACATTCATGTACAAAAGGTCTACGTGTTGTACAGCAAGGTAATGTAGATAGGCCCACCCGGTGGTCTCTATCGCGGTGTACCTAAAAATCCTTGACCTTTCCGTAACAGGGGAATCCAAGGGCCTGGAACAGCAGGCGGGCATGCCTGTCAGACGTGGCTGTTGTGTGGATGAAGATACGGCAACCAGGGAGGAGCTGTGCGGACAGTTAGCAAACGGCATTTCGGGGTGTGCGGTGCGCAGGCAACTCACTCTTGCTGGGTACATGTCGTAATTCACCCCAAGCTCCGGGAACCATGCCATATCATCGGGTCGCAGACCGAGCGCCAGGTTTCCGTTGCCGTCTCCGGTACTGGCCTTGATTCCAGGCCAGTCCTTGATCTTAGGCAGGACAATGTTGACAAGCTTGTCCACAAATTCCAACGCCGCAGGCCCGTGAATTGTTGTCTTGACACCGACACGGTCACCTTCCTTGACCTTCCACTGCGTAACGCTGTCCTTCATCTTCACAGTCGTGGGAGTGCTGCCGGTGATGGCCTGGACAGCGGATCGCATGACTGGGAGCGCCTGTGGCAACTTGGCCGCAGTAGGCATGAATGCGGTGACGGAGACGGCGCTAATCTCGGGGATGTTGCGGAAAGTAATATTCTTCTCGAGAAGATCAAGGTTCGCGGCACCTCTGGGGCCACGACGCGGTCGGTTGATGTTGTAAGGAGACGAATCGTCCCACTCACGCAGGCGATCGGGCTTTGGTGTGACGACGGTGCCGGGCACCTTGTGTATGTACGCCAGCGTCAGCAGGTCGGAGGCGATCGTCGAGTCGTACGTCTGCTTGAGACGAGGGTTGTTGAAAGGCCCGGGAACGAAGTCGCGGGCTGTAGGATCGGTGCAAGGCGGCGACTGGATGGGGTGGAGGGGGCCACGGTCGTACTTGGGCGGATGGTATTGGAATCTCGAGACTGGTTAGCATTGTCGAGGCCACAAAGCGGTACACCATTGACTCACCTTTTTCCAGGAAGCTGCTGCGGCCTGTCTTCTACACGCTTGGCCGTGTTGAAGGACTTGACAGTGGCCTCATCGGGGCCAGGGATGGCAAAGCCGGAATTCGATTCGAGATCGGCCAGATCAGGGGCAGGTTTGGAGGTTTCGGAGGATGCCCATCGTCGGGTGGCTGATGATGCTGATGTAGGTAGCCAAAGCGATGAGCCCTTTGTGCAGACCGCACGGGCTAGCCGTGATCCATCTCGCATTGTGGCGGCCATGGTCAATCGCGCGAAGTGTTGGTGGTTGTCACGATCATGGGTGTCGCGACGCTGGAAAATTCAATGGACCCGAATTCACGACACGGATCTCAAGCCACACATGGGTGGCGCAATGTTAATGTCCAGCGGCTTGATTCATCCAAGCATTAGATAATCATATTCAGCAACCTGTCCAAGCGCCTTACCTAAGGTGGGTCTGTGTCAAGCAGCGGGGCCATCAGTCCACACCCTCGCAAACGGAACATTGGTCCCTGGGATGACGGCGCGAATGGCTGCTGCGCAATTACGTAGCTGTTCTTGTGGACTCATGTCTGTCAGCGGCCGGCTTAGGGGATGTGTGACCTTTCGGCCAGACCGAATACAGAACTTTCGACGATCGGCTGAGAAGATCTTGGTGGTCTAGCGTGCATGTGGAATCAAGGAACGCTGACCTTCCTCCTACGCTGACAGAGAAATGTCTAGTCAACCGGTGTCCACGGAGGTGCGTTGACAAGATCTCATTGAAATGGCCAGCGAAGGATTCCCCCTCTTTCACTCGTGTACGGGTTGAGATAATGTGATTTGCTATTCTTGACATCCAAGGCTTTCTTCGCGGCCCGATACTGCGGCTGAAGTGCATTCTGTGTGAGGCAGACTGGTTGAAACTCGACCGGAAACCTTGCACTCAAGGCAACTCTGAGTCGGCTGTTGAAGGGTCCAAGGCCTCTCTGTCTTGGCTTGGGTTTGTCCAGAACGAGCGACAGGGGCCCTATCAAATGTTCCAAGGGGACCTGGATCAGAAGTGTGGATGGAGCAAACGCGTGAGCCTGGTTATTCTCAAGTCTGTTGCCCCCTTCCTCGCCAAGCAGTTTCCAGGCTTCTACATAACAGTAGGAACTGTGTGACCCGTCATCCAGATCAGCTGGCACGTACATCGTAGGCAGCTGCATATAGACGTTTTCGCGCTGCCTAAACTTTTAGTCAATGAACTATAGGGTTCTTGCGGAGAACGCTGAGCCTTGATGCGAACGGGCGCGCCAGAGCCGTCAGGCCCCGAATAACACCCCCGAACCCGAACCCGAGGGCTGTCACATTATCCGCGTTTTCTGCCAATGCCCTCCCCAGTAGTGTCATGATCTCTCCACTCGTAAGCTTCGCCGCGAAAATTGAACCGGCTGGGATGTCAACAGGCGTTCAAGGCATTGTCGCATGTTCGCCTGGCCATTTGGTCCAGGTCCATCAGGTGAGGCAGGGGCTACCACAGTCGCTGCCGCCCCGGTCGTCGAAGATCACGCCGATCTCCAATCATGCCCTTCAGGATCACCCAAAAAGCCGATAGCGTAGCGGCAGCATCGTGATTATCACCAATGAGCATGTTCTGCCCATGTCCCAGGATACGTAGAAATGGTCTGCTATGTGCGCATGGGACGACGTACCTCTGATGACAGGCTTTGCCATTTATTCAGCGCTCGTTGCGGATCCTGTTGATCGCAAATCCAGGGAAGGATTCGCCGTGGCGTGCCTGCTTTAGCCGTTGCTTGTGCACCCCTGCCACTAAAGGCTGGCCCCTGCCCCTTCTTTCGACCCCTACACTTGCACCCTGGTATCGCACCGTGCCTGCCCCCCCAACAACTGCTGGTCCCACGTCACATCCCTAAACTCCCCCATCAACCCCGCCAAAGCGCGCCGCAGCGACATCCAAGACAAGACAGTCCAAGATCTCAATAGACTCCTAGCGACCAGCAAGCCACCCATTTTCTAGAGTTTGCTTCGAAAAGGCGGAATCCCCTCCCGAGACAGCGAAGGTGCTGAAATTGTGTGAACTCTCCTTCAACGACAACAACTCGACCCTTCCTCCTTCACAAATCGCTACAACCCCGTTGCGGCAACCACAACACCTCCCGTCATGAAGGGCAGGAGGCTCTTCAGTGTCAAGGATCGGGAGAAGGACAAATATGGCTCTCACCGCAGGAACAAGTCGTCAGAGCCGGGTCATAAGGTAAGAGATCTTCAATCGCTCGGGTAGCGCTTCGAGCTCCTTGTTAACAGCACACTCTTTAAGAACCGCCCTCTCTCTGCCGACAACTTCTTCTCGCTCTTCAAGTCCGACGCCTCCCGCCAAATAAACAGCAGCCACGAGGATAAAGCTAAGGTACGAATGACGCCTTGCCACACTCTATGTCCCAGCAGACCTTAACAGCACATCAGATTGAGGACGTATTGCAGCTCCTTGCCGAAGACAACCCCGAATATACCAAACACAGCATTTCTCCCGATCACATTCGCCAAGTCCTCCACAGCTATTATGCGGCTGGTGATGTCAGGAAAGCCGCCGAATTCATACAGATGCAGAGCGATGCGAGTGCTGGCAAGATCTACCCATACAACCCTAATGTGCAGATGAGCGGCGCCGAGAACAGGGAGGCTGTGACCTGTTACCTGGACTCTTTGCTCTTCTCCATGTTCGCACGGATGGACGCTTACGAAGGCATGCTCAAGCATGAATTCACCGACGAACCGCGGCGGAAGTTGGTCACGCTTTTGCGACTCTGGGTCAATATGCTGCGGTCGGGCAAGTTGATTTACACAGACATGGTAGGTTTTGTTGAACCCTTCGCGAATAAAACCACAGTTCAGCTGACTTTGGTAGACGAAACTTATACAAGACAGCCTCGCTGAGTGCGGATGGCAAGACGCCAAAGAACTGGAGCAGCAGGACACATCCGAGGCATTTGCTTTCATCACGGAAACCTTGCAATTACCCTTGCTACAACTACAAGTCGACCTATTTCACCAGGGCAAAAACGACGATGATGACCACAAGATAGTCAACGAACGTCTTCTCAATCTTGCTGTACCCCCAGATCCAGAGGGCAAGGGACTTCGTCTCGAGGACTGTTTAGAGGAATATTTCAACACGCAAGTCGATGTGCTCCGAGACAGCAACCAGGAGGAGAAGAGGGACGCAAGACGGCCGACAACGTCTCGACTTAATACGATTAGAGTCGTGACGCAGAACGAGGAAACCGAGTCGCCTACAAAAGCAGTTGTCGTCTCCCCAGTTGAATTTACACCAGTACTGGATAGGAGGCCGACGGAGACTGCCAATGGCTTGATCAACGGAGAGACGGCCGAATCTTCGAGACCTGCCGCTAGACACCGTTCCACCAGCGTGATTCAGCATGTTCTTGTGGACGGAAAAGGTCGGCCAGCAGAAACGGACAACTCCTCCCTGCTCGAGAGGGCACGACGCAAGAGCTCGACCGTTGTCAAGGCTGTGACTATTCCAGCGTGGCAGTTCTTTCGACTGATTCCTTGGCACTCTGCAGGAAATAGCGAGCCTCAGAATGACCAGGATGTGGCGGTCAAATTCTCTCAAAGGCCAGTAGTCGGCATCTGCTTGAAGCGCTATGGCCTTTCCGAGAGAATGGTCCCCCAACGCCTCAACACATTCATCGATATCCCAGACAGTCTGCGTCTGCCACACTTTATGCTAGCGGACGAAAAGCACCTAGAAGAGGACCCGAATGGGTTTAGTACGGAGTACAAGCTCGTGCTGCAGTCGGTGGTCTGCCATAGGGGTGAGTCTGTGAATAGCGGCCACTACATTGCATTCTCCCGAGTTGCGCCAAAGCTCCTCACGGATAACCGAAGACACGATCTCGATCCACCCCCGGATTATGAGGAGGCGCAGTGGGCTAAATTTGACGACCTCCATATCGACAGCCGAGTCACGTATGTTGATGATATCAAACAATCAATCAAGGAAGAGATGCCGTATCTTCTCTTCTACCAGATTGTACCTATGATGGAAGTAGTGTCTGCGGACGAGACTGAAACGGAACCACCTTCCTATGCCGACTCGAAAGCAAGCATCGCCACATCGACAGATCCCAGCCTGGCTGACAGCGGGCATATGGGAACTACTGGGTCCTCCAGCGGTGATTACTTCGAGAAGGCGACGAAAGCGCAGGCCCCGAGCATTCGATTCTCGTCAGATATAGAGCGGCCCAGCCGTGACAGCATCGAAGACTTGGACCCACACTCCAAGGACTCTCGGCGCACGAGCATCACTCCGCTGGAGTCCGTGATTGGTACGCCAGGCAGAACGCCCGATACCGCATCTCCGGCAGTCACGCCGAACGAAGAGACGACGCGTGAGCGCTTCTCACGTGCGGCTGCCTTGTTCTCAAACAAGTCTAGGAGTCGCCCCCCTAGTCAGGCGGGCGAAGGGCGCATCAGCCTCACGATGGGCCGCCTCGGCGGCTTCATGCGGCCAAGCAAGGAGATATTGCGAGACGGCAATGCCATCGGTCACATTGTCAGCGCGCCGCCCGTACCGAACGAGGCCGGCCCGACGGAGGTGACGGACAGGCCATCGGTAGATCTGCCACGCCCGTCGTTTGAGTCAGATTCCTACCCAGATACTCGGGCAGACGTCAAATCAGATGTGACGGCCACGCCCAGGAAGCACAGGCACGAGCACGGACACAAGCGCGGCAAATCCAAGGTCAAGGGCGTACAGCCTGAGCGAGAGTGCATTCTTATGTAGAGCCAACATGTGTACCGTACGTCCAGGTTTGGTCCTGAGAGCATCATGTTCCCTACCATGATGAGATGAGGCATGATGACGAGTATGGGGGCACCTTTTGGCCATTTATGGCAACGAGAGCAGAAAGCGGTTGGAGTTTGGGAAGGGCGTCGCAGAAACATATACCACTATCGCGTTTTATCCACAGGCATTCAGCCGGTCATGCATGGCGAACATGCCTTCAGCGAGGAGAGGAGAGCGGGCCTTTGGACGTAATAAAGCATTTGGTTGTCATGAAAATCATCAGCCTATCTTGTTCATCTTGAAACAAAAACTCCAACAGTTGATTGGTGACACGCGTGTTTCCCGATTGCAGACCCGAGCAGATCTGAGAGGCTGATGTTTGTCTTGCCTTGTACCTTCAGACTCGTTCCTGCCATGCGAGCTTTGACACCGTGTAAACCTGCACTGAACAGCTTAATCCTCATCATGCACCTTGTCGGCAACAGTCTCCTTGGTCAAGTTGACAACCTTCTCGATCGGCCTTTCCACAGGCTCGGCGGGGGACGAGAGACCGGGCATGGGGCTCAGCGCGCCGCTGGCGGTGCCGGAGCCGGGGATACTGCCGGGGACGGGGATCCGGATGTCCTCTGGCGAGCCGGGGGTGATCTTGGGGTCGATACCCGGGATGTGTATGCGCTTGGCCTCGTTCTGGTAGGCGGCTGGGATGATCTCGATGATCTCGTCGCGCGGGAACTTGAGGAAGGGAATGTCCATTGTGGAGCAGTGCATGAGGTAGGCGTAGAGGACGCGCAGGACCGACTCGTGAGCGATGATGAGGAGGTCATTCTGCTCGCGCTCGAGCTCGAGAATGATTGGCTCGAGGCGAACGGCGAGGTCGTGGTAGGACTAAGACATGGGTTAGTCACAGAGTATCGAATGAACAGGTGACAAGGGGACACTTACCTCTGCGCGGGGGTAACGGTGATGATATGGGTCCAGTTCGTGCTTCTCTACCTCCTCCGGATAGATGGTGCGGATGGCTCGTTCAGCCATCTTCTCGCACACGCCGGGGTTGATCTGGCTCATCTGCGAGCGCTGACGGACTTTGTAGCCTTTGTCCCTGAGGTAGTCCGAGGTCTGCACCGTGCGAAGGCGAGTCGACGTCCAAACGGTCAGGGGTGGCAAGGGGACGTTGGCCCCCTGTTTCTCGACCAGAGCCGCCCGCTCTTGCTCGCGGTGCTTGATGAGGACCTCGGACATTTTGGCGGCGTAGGATTTGCCCTGTTCGGAGAGCGGTGCGTCGGCTTTGTACGAGTCCTCTTCGGTTGTGGTACCTGCTCGCGCGAAAAAGGTGGTGCGTGACTTGATGTGCAAGTTTGTGAGGTAGAAGACGATGCGATGAGACAGGTAGTTGAATGAGAGATTGTTGTAGAAGAACCGGCGACCGGCGTTGATCATTCGGATGTAGTTCAGTTCCTTCTCCTCCATGATCTCAAAGGTGGGGATCTTCATGTCAATGCGCTTCAAATAGAGCTCGGCGGCGTCGTCGGGATCCATGCCGGAAAACTACAAGGGGTCAGCATGCGTTATCGGGCTCAGGTTGGAATATAAGGACTTACGTCTGGAGAAGAGATCTTGACGTTTCGGGCATTGTCCCGCAGGATGGATTCGTCGTCGACGAAGGACTCGATAAACAAGGTCTGGCAGTTGGGTTAAGCTTCTGTCTCCACGGAACAGCTGGCGTTCATTCTTACCTGAACGTCATGCTTGGCAAACTCCTTGGCCAGCGAGCGACGACCTCCAGCGGTCGGGTTGACGGCGTCGTAAATAGCGACTTGGCCGTTCTCGTGATTGAGCCAGGCGTAGATGTCCTCGCGACACTTCTTGAGAATCTTCTGCCGCAAGATGACGGATGCCGGTGAGGCGTTGGGGAAGAAGTAATCTTCAGGGACAGCACCACCGTCGCCGACCGTCGCCCGACGATAGTCGCCGAGATGGAAAATACGAGTCTTCACACCGAGCCTGCTTACGTCAATACGAGTCACCAGCTGCTTCGACAGGAACGTCCTCACCATCCAAGATATCGTGCCAGGGAGACGCAAATATGCCTGCTTCTGTTAGTAAACGTGACCAGATGACTGATAGGGGGGCATACGTTTTGCCGCGTGCTGGCAGGCCCACCATTACAATGGCGATGCGGCCCGAGTGGAAGAGTCGTCCAGACATGGTGCTGTAGAGCTGGGCCGGCGCCATATCCTGGTCTTCAGGTACATCGTGAATGCCATCGATGAAAGTCGAGCTCTTGCGGCGATATCGTGGGGCGTTGGCCGCAATTTCGGCAGTGCTGTCTCGAGGGTCAGTAGTGTTGGCTTCCTCAGGATGATCTTGATGCTCGTCGTCGTCTTCGATAGCAGCCGATGTGCCGTCAAAGCAGAGCTCAGGGCGGGGATGCATGGCTCAGGGCAATGTGATGCTTGATATGAAGGGTGATCTGGTGCGGTTGCAAGGGTTGGCAGAGAGGGGGCAGGGCAGGGGATTTTTAGGATGCGCTCAAGGGATAGGTTGCAAGAAATATTACAGGATCCGTGGACCAGTGTTGACAATGAGACGTCCGAATAGGGTGTGCCGGCCCGCCAGGTTACGGAAAGATGTTAGGTTTGCAAGACCAGGTGCTGGGTTGTGATTCACCAAATTGCAGAACGACATTGGGGGCCCATGCTCATGACCTGGCACTTGCACCTGCCAGTAGTTGCAGGGGGACGAGAAGTGCATGGCTTTTAAAGGTGACTCCTGATTTGAAGGGTGCAAGCAATCGTCTCAACAAGAAGAGGGAATGACGGGGTGATATGAAAGATTGCCGTTGGGCCGTGGAAGTACCAAGGAAAGGGCCTTCACTCACAGAAGTGTATCCATATTTGGTGATTTGCAGTCAACCTCTCCTTTGTGTCAGTCTTGTCGTCGCCCGAGATCTGGTCCTTCTTCTTCCCTTCCTCTGCTCGATTGAGGTTCTATTCCATGCAGCAATACTTTGGAGTAGTGAAGCAAGACAGGCTCACTGTGAAGTGGCGTTGCGGTGTGAGATGCGGAGCGATGGAAGTTGCTCAAGCTCAAGATGCTGGCGCGAATCCGGTCATTTGGGTGCGGCGGCGACAGCAAACGATGAGAGACGTATGCCTGACTGGCCAAAGTATCCAGGCAAGTATACGTAGCGTTGGTCAGACCGCTTGAGGTATTATGTTTTGAGTTGGTAACTTGATATCGATGTCCCGCTTTAACCCGCCGTCGGTTATCGTGAGTATGTCAACGGTCTCTCGGCTACGGGAGAGCACTTGGCTGGATGCGTTCCCGCAGAACCACTGTTGCTCGTCCAGTGCTCCAAAGGATTGCCCGCCTTCTCGTGAAAGCTCTTAGAGGGATGCTACGTTGTCTCGGTCTGGATAGAAGATCGCAAAGAAGATCAGTTTGTAGGGCTAGTGGACTCCAGTGCAGTGCTGTCAAGGTGACCTCAGATGTCTCTTTCCCTCTTTCTCTTTCTCTCTCTCTCTCGCTCCCTCTGTGCATCACCCAATTGCCCAGACGAACCTAGGTCCGATGGTGGGGTCATGCCGTCTCCACCCCTTGGCTATTTGTCGGGTATGCGTGCCGATATCACGTGCACCAGCACAGTGGAGCGAGATGAGGGAGGATTCGGGTCGTAGGCAATGGAAGCGATGCGAGTGTCAGCGACCAGGCTGCTGGTGCCCTCTCTCTCTGTTAGCTGTCCTTGTCTGGAGTCTCCCCCCCCCCCTGCTGTGCACCACTGAAAGGCAGAGGCCCGTGCTCCCCCCCAGAAAGACTCCCAGTGCTATCAGAGGCTGAAGAAATTTATTTTACCAGCAACGTCACGACAAGTCAATTCCCGACATCCGCCCGACCAAGCTCCTTCGCGATCGTGAAGCCTCGCACATCAAGACCATCTCTGGTTCCATCGACGCAATAGGGCACAGCTCCCAGCATCTCAGACGCGCTCTCCCTTTTCGTCATTCTCGCATCGAGCGCGTATCGTCCCATCTGCGTCCTCCGTCGGC